GGTTTGTTATTTCCAGCCCCTTGTTCTCTGCCTTTCTTCCTTTTCTCTGCCTCCCTCCTGCCCCTTCCAGCCCAGCTTTGGGGGCACTAACTCCTGTGGAGAAGCTGAGGGAAGAAGTTTTTAATGCCTCCTCCTCCAGTTCCTCTTCAGGCATTAGACAGCAAGCCCTCTCCCCACTTTCCCAAAGAAGCAACTCCAATTCCTGATAGAATGTATCCCCATTTTCAGTGGTGACTTGAGAAGGACATATAAAGGGTCAAATCCCCAACCTTCATCATCTATGGGCATTATATTTAGGGAGCAGTTCTTGGCCTGGTTTTCTGGCTCTGGGAGGGGGGAGCCAGAAGCAGGAAAGCCTGGACAAGAGAGACCGATGACTAGAAGGACTTCCCTCCCCTGCAATGACCCACTCCCTGACCCCTCTCTGGACCTAACTGAACCGCTATTGAATCCTTATTAGTGTGCAAATCATGAAGTCTCTGTTCCATCCACTGTGGCTGAGCAGAGAGGCCAGGTCTTCAGAGAGGGGTCAGACCAGGGCAAAGCAGGACTGGGGTACAGCAGGGCCTGTTCCACAAATCTTGTATTGTGACAGGCCTGGCTCCCCCAGTGTTGCCTCCCTACAGCTCACTTGGGGTTGCCACCAGCCTCTCACCCTCCTGGTTCCGCTGGCCGGGCTAGGAGAGGATGGAGGATGGAAGGCCCAGGGGGCCCTGGAGATGCTTGTATATAATGGGGTGGAACTGTTCTCATGATCTCTGAGCACTTAGAGCTCAGGAGTCCCATTCTTCCTGGATGGAGCTGGGGTGCAGGGATGGAGGTGCATAGGGGATTCCCCACTCCTTCTGCCACCGGTTGTGAATTAACTCACCTCTCCTCAACCTTCCCCTCCAGACCACCAGCCTGGGAGGGGAGAGGAAGGAGATCACAGCCCAGAAAACTGGCCTGTGGCAACTTCCCTCCTTCTTGCCATTGTGATCCATCCTGAGATGTCTGTACAATAGAAACCAAACCAAATGGGCACCCTTAGTTACCAGAGGCTCAGTGGGAGGGGGGGTGGGAAGAAGGGATGTCTGTCTGTCAATCCCCCTCCCCCTCTCCAGTCCTTACCCATAAAGGCAAAAGACTGTTACACTAGGGGGCTCAGCAGATTCAATCCCACCTTTACTGGGTGAGCCAGACCTAGAAACAATCGCAAAACAGTGAGTGACAAAACAGGAGAGAAAGCAGAGAGCAGGAGAAGGCGCAAGATTGGCAACCAACACAGAGGAGAGGAAATAAAAATAGCAAAAAAAAAAAAAAGAAAAAAACAGTTCTTTATAATTTAATATTCTATTTTAATAAAGGCGTTTATTACCATATAAATGTAGCAAAGAACCTGGGCTAATATGAAAAAAAGACTTTTTATTAGGTAATTTATTATATGAAAAGGATATTTTATTTTATGATAAAGTGATCCTTAAAAAAATAAAAAAACTTTAGAAGGTTTAGAATATATGTAGGGAGAGAAGAAGAAAAAAAATACATTTGTATTCAGAGTTAAATCTTAAAAAAAAAAGTGTTTTTAATATATGTTCGGGTTTACGTTCCTTTTTTCCCCCACTTTTTTTTGGGGAGGAATGTCATTTGCTTTTCTTCGGGGAGCATCCTGAGATGGATGGTGGAGAGAGGGGCTGGGGGAACCTGGTCCCTTCTGGGGCCCCCACTAGTAGATTGGATTTCACTCAGTGGGCTCCTCCTCCTTTCTCCCCCTCCCCCTCAGGGGAGCCGGCAGAGCCAAACAAAGAAAGGGATTAACCAGAAAGAAAGAAGCTGTGGGACTAAGGACTGAGGATCCTGAGGTGTCCCCCCTCCCCTTCCCCTGCCCTGTCCACAGGGGTAAGTGAGGAGGGAGAATCCAGAACAGAGGCCTAGCAGGCCTATGGGAACCCTCAGAGAGGTAAGATTTTAAGAGAAGTAGATTTTTTTAACCAAAAAATGAGAGAGAGAGAGAGAGAAAGAAAAAGAAACCGAGGGGTTTAAAAGAAGAGAATACTACAAAATAATAATAATTCAAATTTATTTCATATAATCCTAGAGAAAGAAAAAGAATTACTAGTTACTTAGTAGATGATATTCAGATAGCTTAAAGTTTAGTAGCATTGAGGGCCCCTGGGTCCAGTAGAATGTATAAAAGTATGGAAAAGAATAGAGGAGGGAAGTGGCTGCATCCACCCTGAGCCACTCCATCTTCAGGGGTCATGGTTGGAGCAGGTTAAGATTGGGAGCTTCCAGTCTGCTGGGGTTGATTCTGAGAATTCTTGAGTTTTTCACTGTGGGATATGTAAATGAGAAACTCAGTCCCCAAGGTCTTTGAAAGGATGCATGCTGATCATCTCAACCAGGGCTGGGGGCTGAGCTGGGGGCCCAGCTACCATTGTATCTGTTAGCTAGTCCCTACTCTAATGTGATCCAGCCTCTCCTGGGGCTCTCAGGGAGGATGGAGACTGCTTAGCTCCAACCTTTCCAAGCCAATTCCTCCTTGGCCTGTGTAAGTTAAGTCCTTGAAATGTAACCTCAATTCACTTCATTATAGATTGGTTCAAGATCTTAGCCATTATACAAATAAATACACATGCTTCCCATCTCAGATCTTCATGAGCATTGAGGGGATTGGTCTCTCATCCCTGCTCCCACCCAGCACTCCAGTCAATATTGTCCTCCATGGAGGCAGTTGAAAGTAGCAATCTTGGAAGCTGTTCTTAAGTCTGTATGGTGCTTCACAGGTTTGCAAGGTATCTCATAGAAATTAGATTCCAAGAAGGACTTCCTTCACTGGGAGGTAGGATTAAGACACTGCCCTTGAAGGCTTTGGGGAATAGATCCCCAAGAGTGCAGAGGTAGGGGAAGGACAGTAGGCCTTGGGTAGCCCTTCTATTAGATCCCTTCTATTCCATCTCACCTTGAGCTGTAGATGTTCTAATTGGGGTCACCCAAGGGTACTTCACCTTCCTCACAGAAAATTGGGAGCCTGGTTTCTGCATGTGAGGAATGCACATTTTTTTAAGCACTTGCCTTCTAGCCCCAGCTGGCAGTCAGATCAAACCCTTCTATTGGGGGGGTGGAGGAGAGGCCCCTTGGCTCTCTTTTCAGCAAGCCATGCCTGCTCCATTATATCAATGACTGCCTCATCCCTCCCAGACCCTAGACCCCAAACACATCTCCCTCTTCCCAATTTACTCTTCTTGCCCTATCTAGGGACAGATAAACACCCCCACCCCCACCCACCCCCCTGCTCTTTTTGTCCTAGAACCCTCGATAGTTTGGGATGGTAGTGTCTGGGATGGGCTTTGCCCATTCGAGGGTGCAGGTTGGGTAGGGGAGGTGGGTGGAGACAGCCCTGGGGCAGGGGGGGATGGTCTCTCCACTGTAGAAAGTAGAATAGGATTGTGGTCAGACTTAATTTGAGGCATCTAGTGAAGACACATACAAATCCAGCAAGGAAAGATTTCAGAAGCAAAATAAAGGCGGGAAATGAAATTGACCCATGAATAATCAAGTCAAAGTGATGTTGCACAAAATGCAGAGAAACCAAGAAGGGGGAGGGTTAATGTATTAAATGTGCTATTAAGAACTTAATTTTATTAAAAGTATTATTACTTAAGACTCTTGTCTCTGCGTGTCAGTTCATATTATTTGGGGTAAGTAGAAGCAATTGTGGTCTGAGGTTCTCTCTGGTTTAACTGAGTGGGTGTTTCCAGAGTTCTTTGCTACTCTCTGCTCTACCCAGTTTCCCACATGAATCTTCAAGCACTAAATCCTATTTTTCCTCTTTTTTTTTTTGTCCGTCCCAGGGCTTGAACTCGGCTTGGGCACTATCCCTGAACTCCTTTTTGCTTAAGTCTAACACCCTAACACTTGAACCACAGCACCACTTCCTGCTTTTTCTGTGATTAATTGGAGATAAGAGTCTCATGGAAGCTAGGCACTGGTGGCTCACCCCTGTAATCCTAGCTACTCAGGAGGCTGAGATCTGAGGATCACGGTTCAAAGCCAGCCTGAGCAGGAAAGTCCATGAAACTCTTTATCTCCAATAAACCACCAGAAAACAGGAAGTGGTGCTGTAGCTCAAGTGGTAAAGCGCTAGCCTTGAGCTGAAGATCTGAGGGACAGAGCTCAGGCCCAGAGGTCAAGCCCCATAATGGACAAAAATAAAATAAAAAAATAAAAATAAAGAGTCTCATGGACTTTTCGGCCCAGGCTGGCTTTGAACTGCAATCCTCAGATCTCCTGAGAAGCTAGGATTACAGGCATGAACCACCAGCCCCCAACTCAATTCTATTTTTCTTCCCCATATATTTCCTTCTTTTCCTTGGAAATGCGTTGACACCTTCCACCCTCTCTGCAGCATAGGAGAAAAAAGCAAGATCAATCTATCCCTGTTAAAGACAGGACAAAGACTAGATAAGGACTAGGGTGTGACATAAGTGGTAGCATACCTGCCTACCCAGTAAGTGTGAGGCCCTGAATTCAAAACTCTAATACCGTCCCAAAGAAGGCACCAGGAGACGGACTTGCTGGAGGACCCCAGCATACTACAAGGCTGGCCCCACCTCTTCTCCCTTGCTTGTTCCCCAGCTTCCTCCTCTTGCCCCAGCATTGGAGTGACCTCAGTTCTTGGCACCAGGGCCTTGGGCACCAGATGGTGCCTACCGATGGTTTCTTTTGTCTTGCCTTCCACATACCCCTCCCCTCCATCCATGTAGCACTTCCCCCACCTGCCCTAGAGGTTGGCAGAGGGATGGATGGGCACCTCCGCCCCCTTGGCACTGTCCCCAGACCACAGAACTCCAGAGGCAGGTGGCCCTGAGGGACAGTGGATATGGTAAGGAGGACAGAGGGAGGGGGAGAAGGGGATCAGGGACTCAAAAGAGGGACCAAAATTGGAGGGGTGAGGGGTGGCAGAGACAGAAGAGGAAGAACAGACGGGAGGCAGCAGGATGGCTAGGCATGGGTACAAAACAGCTTTATTTGAAGGCATGGACAGATGATGAATGTGTGTGGTGGGACATGAAGACCCTAGGGCTCTGAGTGTCTGTGACCAAGGAACTAAAGGTCAGGAAAATGTCCTGTAGTATGTAGAGGGCAGGTACCAGAAGGTTGGAGGAGCAGGGTTGACCATGGTCAAAATCAGAGGCTGATGCAACAGGCCCTTTTCTCCCCAGAGACAGGCTCCTGCCCAGATTGGGCACTGCCCAGGGCGATTGCATTGGTCCGGGTGCTGTTTTGCCTCTGCTTGGACACCTTCGCAAAGATCTCTGAGAGAGTAGAAGGCAGTGATCAGATCAGAAGGTTTAGCACCCATTTCCCACCTCTACATATATGCTTCATGCCCTGCCCAAGCACTAGAAGTGGTCCCAGTGGTGGGAGTTTCTACTGGAAAGAAGTGAAATTTCAGCATCTGGTCCTTTCTACTTACCTGGGAGGAGAAGGAACCAAGACTCACACCTTTGGGTAGTATGATCTTCCAGTTGTCATCAGGCTGAGGGAGGCTGAGAGTTTATAAAGGCTCCCTGAGACTTTACAAAATGTATACTTGGGGTCTATTCCTTGGCATTTGTAGTTAGATGAAAGTTACCAAGTGCAGAGCACTGTGCCAAAGTGGGACAGGCAATGGTGGCTGAGAAGGAGGCTGGGGGCCCACAGGGAAAGTGTGGTAGGCAGTCAGCTGGAAGAGAGCTGGGTGTCTATTAGGCTTCTGACCCTAGGGATGAAAGGGGCTGCCAAATAGAGGCAGGCTCTAACCTTTGAGGATAGTCTCAAAGGCCAGCTCAACATTGGTGGAGTCCAGGGCTGAGGTCTCCAGGAACAGCAGCCCGTTGTTTTCTGCCAAGAAGAAAAACACAATTAATTGAGGGATCAAAGGCAATAATTAATAAATAATAATAATAATAATATTTACCTAATGTTTACTATATACATTACTAAGTACTAAACATTGTAGTAACTCACTTAATACTTAAAGCTGTGTATGAGTATGTTCCGTTAGGAAACTGAAACCCAGAAGCAGAGAGAATGAAGAGAAAATCTGCTCTGTGGTCCATATCTAAGAACTCACCAAGGGGCAGTGGGAAGCTGAGCTCTGGAGTTTACCCTCAAAACCACCATATTGTATTACTGCTAAACCTAGAGAACTCCTGGGGCAAATGGGGCAGGAGATAGCCAAGTGGAACCCAACAGGATCTTGGAGAATTGTGGGGTGGGACTATTTGAGGCTTTGTTTTGTGTTTTGTTTGCCAATTTTGTGACTTGAACTCTGGACTTGGGCACTGTCCCTGAGTTTTTATGTTCACTAATGCTCTACCTCTTGAGCCACAGCTGACTTTCTGGCTTTTGTGAGTGTGTGTGGTTTATTGAAGATAAGAGTTTTGCAGCCGGGCACTGGTGGCTCATGCCTGTAATCCTAGCTACTCAGGAGGCTGAGATCTGAGGATCGAGGTTCAAAGCCAGCCCAGGCAGAAGAGACCGTGAGACTCCTATCTCCAATAAACCACCAGAAAACCGGAAGTGACGCTGTAGCTCAAGTGGTAGAGCGCTTGCCTTGAGCTGAAGAGCTGAGGGACAGCGCCCAGGCCCAGAGTTCAAGCCCCATGACCAACAACAACAACAAAAAAAGAGTTTTGCAGGGGCTGGGAAGGTGGCTTAGTGGTAGAGCGCTTGCCTTGAGCTGAAGAGCTGAGGGACAGCGCCCAGGCCCAGAGTTCAAGCCCCATGACCAACAACAACAACAAAAAAAGAGTTTTGCAGGGGCTGGGAAGGTGGCTTAGTGGTAGAGCGCTTGCCTTGCATGCACGAGGCCCTGGGTTCAATTCCTCAGCACCACATAAGCAGAAAAAGCTGGAAGTGGCGCTGTGGCTAAAGTGGTAGAGCGCTGGCCTTGAGCTGAAGAGCTTAGGGACAGGGCCCAGGCTCAGAGTTCAGGCCCCAGGACCAACAACAACAACAACAGAAAAGAGAGAGAGAGAGAGAGAGTCACAGACTTTCCTGCCTGGTTTAGCTTCCAACCACGTTTCTCAGATCTCAGGCTCCTGAGTAGCTAGGATTACAAGCATGAGCAACTGGTGCATGGTAGGCCTGTCTTATAATCAGCTATGATTGCTGATGAAGGCATGTCTTAGAGAAGTGGAGATAAGTCTACACAGGGGAGCTGGGTGTAGAGCAGGCTCCAGGAAGCTGGAGCTGATTGAGTGTGTGCAAGTTTGCAGGAGTCAGATTGGGTGTGGCTGGGTACTCACCTGCAAACATTCGGGCCTCCTCAGTGGGCACCTCCCGGGCCTGACTAAGGTCACTTTTGTTCCCCACCAGCATAACAACAATAGTGGCTTCAGCATGGTCATAGAGCTCCTTCAGCCAGCGTTCTACTACCGCATATGTCTGGTGCTTGGTTAGATCAAACACCAGGAGGGCCCCCACTGCTCCACGATAGTACCTGAATGGGAGTTGGAGAGGTGGGCAGACAAAGATCAGGTATTGGGTTCAGCCACAGAGCAAAGTCATCAAGCCAAAAATGACGGAGTCAAAGTATATCAATTTTTAGTAAATAAAGAAACTGAGGACATCCAATCTGGTTGAGAAGATCAGGGCTCTTGTGCAATTTAGGAACACTGGTCTTGGGCCCCCCCAAGGTGTACTTCTCTGCTCCCAACCTCTCACCAGCTCTTCAAAGCCCTTTTGCTTCCATTCTCCTGTGTCCCAATTTTAATCCCCACTACCCACCAAAGTCCATCTCTGTACTCTGGCCAAATGTGCCTCCTGGATGGCTCCACCTCTGGGATCTTTCCTCAGTCCAGTGCCATCTTCTCTCCTGTGGCCATCTTTCTAGGACTAATACCTGGCTTGACCATCAAGGCATCCCTGCCAGCAGGCAGACTCCTTCTCAGAGTTGAAAGCGTTGTGCTTGGGCTGGTGGTGTGTCATTATTTCCAAGTTTTATTGCTGAAGCAATCAAGGCTTATAAGAGGTCAAATGACAGGGTGATATGTATATGGCCTTTGTGAGTCTAAGAGTAGTAGATACTGCTTCCTGCCTCCTAGAAGATCCTGTCTGTCCCCATCATACATGCATGCATAGACCATCTTGCACACATGTGGACTTGAAACTGACCAGAGGACACTTTGGATGTGGTTTTAGGAGGCCTAAACTTCCTATGTATTCTCTGAGACTTTATAAAATGCACACTCTGGGTCCAGCCCTTGGCATTTGATAAATGTTACCAGGTACAGAGCACTGGGCCAAACTGAAGGGACACTCTCAACCCACACAGCCTGCCCCATCCCAGCTCACCTAGATTTTACCTTGCTTGTATTTAAACAGGGATTTATTAGAGCACCTTACTACTATAGTACATGTGCCAAATGATTTGTATCTTCCCAGGCATATGGCAAAAGCTTAGTAAGGGGTAGCAATGACTCTTGGTTTAGTCCTACTAGTTAATCTTACTTCTTATATCCTATCTCTGTTTGTGCTCATAGCACAGTGCTCTCCCCCAGGGAGCATACTGCTGAGTCCCTGTTTCTCCATCCTCTTCTACCTCTCCCTGACTTCCCAGGGCTTCCACAACCCACCAGCCCCCCAGCCCAGGCTCACGCTGAGGTGATGGCTCGATATCGCTCCAGGCCAGCTGTGTCCCAGATCTGCGCCTTGACTGCAGCAGTGCCCAGCATTACAGTGCGGGTTGAGAACTCAACCCCGATGGTGGTGCGGCTGTCGTGGCTGAACTCATTGCGTGTGAATCGGGACAACAGATTGGTCTTGCCCACGCCTGACTCACCGATCAGCACCACTGAAGGAGTGGAGAGATAAAGACTGAGCACCCCGGCACAGTGGCTCCAAGCCCACCTGAGCTTAGAGGGTTTTTCAACAGAAAAGAGAACTGAGCCCAGAAAACCAAGGAGGGCTCCAGCTCTCCTGGCAGACACTCTGGATACATAATGCATCTGCCCTGGAGGACAAAAGGCCAGAAGTATAAAACAAACAAAGGGGCTGTAAGGATTACAGGCCTGCTCTGAAGAAACATGGATGCAGAACCAGCTTTAGTTGCTGGTGACAGAGAGGAATCTGTAAGCTGTGAGTATGGGTGTTATGTGGAGAGGTGACAGGAGTGTGAAAATGGACAGAGATGATAGGAGATCTGGGAGGACCAGAACTCTGTGTGTGTGTGTGTGTGTGTGTGTGTGTGTGTGTGTGTAAGAGAGAGAGACAGCTGGGGGAAGAGGTTGATAAGTGTATTCAAATAGGAAAGAGGTGAGAACATGCGAACAGAGATATGGATACAGGGCCTCGGTGCTGTCCCTTAGCTTTTTTTGCTCACAGTTAGCACTCTACAATTTGAGCCACACCTACAATTCTGGCTTTTTGATGGTTAATTGGAGATTTGTTGGAGAGCCTCTAGATTGTCTGCCTGAGCTGGCTTCAAATCTTCATCCTCAGATGTCAGCCTCCTGATTAGCTAGGATTACAGGTGTGAGATACCGATGGGTCTTCTAAGGGTGAGAGGAAGGTGTGTGTGTGTGTGTGTGT